CGATGCTGCTCAATTAATATATAGGATTCCAAAGTTTGATCCCATTTTGTCCACCTTACTGCATCTTCACTGAGAAGAATATCTGCAGTCACACTACATTAAAACAGTCAGTGTGGCCATTTTTAAGTTGTTTTAACATTTTTAATAATTTTAACATTTTAATATCTTTCATTTTAATATTTTTCATATTTTATTGTTTAATTCTTTTAATATTTTTATAGAATATTTTGCAAGGTGCTTTAAAATAATTTTATAATTTTGGTACCTTACAAATGTTAATTATCATCATCATCATTATTATTATTGTCCAAGATACACAAAAGCAGTGTGGACCTATTTGTTTTGTAGAAGGCAAGATCAGGGAACATGACTTTCTACTCATCAAGAAGCAATTCATTTGACTATTTTAAAAAAACTTTAAAACTCGTTTAATTGGTGACGAAAAAAGAAAGTACAGTGTATGGCCTTACATCAAAATGGTCACCTTTCATAGCGATTCAGATGACTCTCATACAGAGTGCATCACTGCAGTGTGAGAGCAAATTTACTTGTATCACCGCTATTAAATGTCGTCTTTAAACTTCTGTAAAGCCAGTGATAACTATTAAGATCATGGCAACATGTTCCTTGCCCATCTTTAAGAATGTTTTATTCTTTCACAAGAGCAAACTCAATACCTTTCAACTCCTTGATCTTAAAAATAAGACACTTGTATTCCCTACAGAAACACTTGACACCTCCGCTCTAAATTAACCACCCTGGGAGGGTAAGGTTTTTTAATTCCTTACTCCCTTGGCACGGACGACAGTCAAATGCACACGAGTCGTACCAGGCAGGAGGGGGGCAGGTTGAAACAACACCTAAGGTCTTGTGCTTTATCATAGGAATTAGAATGTTTGTACGAATAAATTTAAGATCTATCAAATATTAGATGACTCGCCTCGTTTGGCTCACCAAGTGTCCGTATGTTCCTCAGACTTCGCCTTCGGACACAAACACTGTAAACTGGATGGAACTCACTCGATATTCTTTTTTCTTCGAGGTCTTCATTCTCGTGAGGCCGTCCCCGCTTCATTGTGACCCCTCCCATCACCAGCTAAAACCCTAACGGCATGAAATCTTTACTTGAAAATGCTTCCCAAGTCAGGAGTCAACTGACGCAGTACAAGATTTCCAGGATCAGAGACGTGAACAACCCTCCAGCACTTTGGAAAGATGCTGATTTTCCACCAAAATAGCCCATTCTCCGAGCTAAGAGCTTCAACTTTTCTTTTGTAAAAAAACCAAGAGACTTAACAAAAAGATTCTGCCTACATTACGATTGCTACGGTGCAAACCTCATTACCACAAAACAGCTGTTCAACCCGACACCTTAATGTAAATTCCGATCAAGGGGCCAAGTCAGTATGTAAAATTAGTTCTCAGACCTCTCGCATCATTGAAACCTTGTAATTTCAAGGATTTTGGGCTTCACTGGGACTCGAAAGACTAAGCGTAACTCTGTTTCGTTAGAGATTTATATGCCCCAACTTTTAACTTGCTAAAAAGGTATAGATAATAGCTGTATTTAAAATTAGAAATTAACCACCTTAGTGCCATACGAGTTTTCCTGAATAGACCATTTTTGTGCATTATTTTATGTTATTTTATTTTTCTGAGCAATAGATATGGCCCTCGCAAGAGGTTCATATGTTTTTTAATAGTGCTTCATGAGATATTTTTAAATCATGTATTCACATATTTGTTCATCATAAGCAGGTTAGATTTTGGTTTTCTATTTCTTTACTTATTGTAAAGCGCCATTGGGCTAAATGGAAATGGCGCTACATAAATTTTGCAATTATAATTATTGTCATTACTATTAGTATTAGTATTATTATTGCTATTTCAGCAATAAATAATGCAGGTTAGAGGGCCTGTTCCCACACGTTCTACTTCCTTTGTAGAATAAGTACGTTTAGTCGTAGGCGCTGCGTGGTAGTAGGCAATATAATAGGATGGGTTAACTAGTTCACGATTTTTCAAGGGTATTAACTAAAAGATAACTTTTCGATGTTTTTGTGATTAGAAACTAGCTTTTTAGCGATTACTAGGATAAATGAATTAAATTTCTATATTTGTTTTAAACATTTTGTGTCATAATTTGTTGGGTGCGAATCGACCAGAGAGTTGGGCACGAACTAATCGAACGTACTTACGAAACATCTAAGCCTGGGTATGAAAGATCCATGGGTACGAAACGACTGGATACCATGTATTTACATATTTGTTCATCACAAGCAGGTTAGATTTACTTTTCTATTTCTTTTTCGATTGTAAAGCGCCATTGGGCTACATGGAAATGGCGCTAAATAAATTTTGTTGTTGTTATTAAGATTATTATTATTATTATTATTATTATTATTATAATGAATTCGTTTATAAATAATGCTGATTAGAGGGCCTGTTCCCACACCGTACACGATTGTTCAACATTCCTTTCGGCTGACATTTCGTAAGCGAAGAATGGTGAGCTCCTCATTGTTGTTATTTCACGCGCTTGAGATGTACTCATACACCTTGTCTTGTCACATGACTACATTTGCGCTTTTCTTATCGAAGGAACATCCTATCAATTGTAGTCCCATCGTATTTTGATAATAGGAATATATCATTTGTAATAAAGTTCAAGCCCTTTCCTGCGCTTACCGACAATACTATCCAACAGTTCCAAATCTCCAAACCTTACAAAAAAAATCCTTATGAGCAAGTGGCATTCAGTACAGCAACAACCGTTCCTAAGAGAAATCCTCAAGAAACCGATAATATCGTACAGAAACAAATGATCACTCCGACATACTCGTGAGAGAAAATTGCGAGGGCGAGAAAACTGAATATACCATGGTGTTTCGTGGAAACATTTGTGGCTAGTAAAGAGAAAACTGGACGTACTACTGAATCGTTTAGGCATGTCAACCTCAACTTACACGGAACATTAATTAAGCCCGTTTCTAAAGCAAAGAAATACTTTTTATGAGCTCGCCTATACCTGTCCCAACCCCTATCCTGCATTCCAATCGGAGTATGTCCCGGTCTCGCCTTCCTATCTTCATCCCGCATCTCGCCTTTAAAGTATCTCGTATTCTACATCCCGCCTCGATTTTAAGCCTCATCCTGCATCCTGCCAAACCTATGTTAGACCCTCTCTACCACTTTAATTCAATATACGGGATTCACTAATATTCATTATACTCATTTAATACACTGAGCACGCAGGAGATCTGCGGAGAACGCGTTAAAGTTGTTAAAAATGTTTTGAATACCTTTATAACTAAGATGTAGTCCTCCCTTGATTAGGCCATTCTCTGTGATCTTTAGATGCTGGATAAGTTTCCATCCATTCTGACGGCAGTAGCTCTTTAGATGTTGATTCGCATCTTTCACTGCTCTATTGAATTCATCCCTTGTGGAAGTAAGCCTCGATATAGCGGAGGTAGCGTCGGATGAATTTTCGATTTGTCAATGATCAATTCAGCATCTTGCAACACTTTTTGTATTTAAGGTTATTGGAGCCGACTTAGAGAACGACTTGGTCCGGCGAATGCTTCGGGCTAGCTTTGAGGTTGGCCTTCATAGCTTGAGGTAGCCCTACAGAATAACTTGACCACTGCTCGATGGCCAACGGCTTTTTCTAGCTTCTTACAACATATATTTGTCTTTGTTAAGGAAGCTCCAATTGATAGGGTTGTACATCAGTGTTGTAGCCACAAATGCTCGTTACATTTCCAACTTCACTTCCAAAATGGCTAAACGAAAGGAAGTTCAGTAATAAATACGTAACCGGTTGCAAGAAATGGATTACAAGTTATAGTTGTCACAATTCAAGGTAAAGAAATTAACAAACGAGAAAACAAAAATAAAGGAAAACAAAAGACACTTACAAACGTCGCAAGAGATTTGGGTCAACTGCCAAATTAAAGACGATATAAAGCGAGGTAAAGCAACGTAAAGTGGCGTAAAGTGATCGACAGAGACGGTATAAACAGTCAGACGGTTCGAATACTTAAACGGTTGATCCGAATGAATAAAATCCGCGGAAAACACTAATACAAGGGACATAAACGAAAGGCAATTATGCAGGAAAGGGTAACAGAATATTGATGAAAGTTATGCGCACAGAACAAAAGGCATGAATGAACTGTGACAAAAGAAGAGTACGAATTTGTAATCAATCGAATTTTTGGCGGCAACAGTAGTGGAATTATCGGAGACCTTAGCAACGGACTTCGTCCTATCCTCATTGTTCCTTTGTTCTTGTTTTTTAAATGGCCATGGGTTGTGCATTTGCATTGTCAGAAAGTATTTTTGACTCCTCCTCATTAATTGGATTTATTTCCAGAAATGACGGACAAAATGGCGGCGGTGGTGGTTTGCTACTTGGGAACGGAGTATTTAAAAATGGCTGGAGCGTTAGAATAACATATATGGAACAATGAACTAAATTAATAAGTAAAAATACCTCGACATACTGCACATGTTTCCCCGACCTCTCATTTTTTTTCAGAACAACTGACAAATTCGAAAATATAAATTCATGATGACTCAAGATGATTCAAGATGACGACTGGGCACGTGCTTACGAAGTCTGCATCAAATTATGTTATTTTCCTGGTCTATTTGTTGTGTTTATCCGACTTATACACGCTAAATAACATCCCAAATACTGCACAATCCGGTAATGGGCTTTGTCTAGATTTTTCGACTGAAAATTACCGTCTGTGGACAAATTCGGTTCTTGGAAATGTTCGTTATACAACTAAGAAGCTGTTTGCAACGACATCATTTAACTGCAGCCGCCTACTGTTTTATGAAAACTCGTGCTGCTCCTTCAATTTACCAAGGCTTAAATTAGTGGGCTTAATCCATCCAAATCCTAGTCCTACCATAGAAGCAACGACCAATATTAACAACTCATGTCAAAACCGTAAAACCACAGCTAAATATAAATTGCCTTTATATATATGAACGCTCGAAGCATTGTCAACAAGGTCGACGAGCTACAAGTCCTCGCTATAAACAGGGACGTGTTGGCCATTACCGAGATATGGCTAAGACCGGTCATCAACAGCTGCGAGATATTTCCCAATATGGACTTCACTATTCATAGAAGAGACAGATTTGAGCATAACAACAAACGTGGAGGAGGCGTCCTGTTAGCAGTTCGAAATACAGTGCCATGTGTTAGAAGGCCTGACCTCGAAACCTCAGCTGAAATTAATGTTTGCGAGCTTCGTCCGTCGTGCGAGAAAAAGATATTGATGGCAGTTTTCTACCGCCCTCCTTCTTCTGATTATCTCTATTTGAAAGAATTTATGAAATTTCTGGACCAAGCCTCCAGGGCTAAATGTGATCAACTTTTGATTGTTGGTGATTTCAACTTACCAGACGTCGACTGGGCTACCGTAACTGCCTCTATCGATTATCAGATGTACACCCTCTTTACTAAGGCAATTAAGGATCATTTTCTTTGGTAAGTTATAGATTTCCCAACCAGGAATGATCATATTTTGGAGTTACTGCTCACAAATATTCCAGACAAGATTTCAAATGTTAAAGGATCTCAGGATATTTTGAACTCAGATCACCAACTCATTGAATTTCCCTTGGACCTTCGAATCAAAAGCCAATCACATATTAAACGACGACTATATCATTTTAAGAAAGCTGACTGGAACGGCCTCAAACACTCACTCCGTTTGGTCAACTGGGACCTGTGTTTTGAGGAAAACGACATAAACGCTTCTCTTACTAATTAGTCTGATACGTTCCTCACGGCTGTTAACCAGTACATTCCAACGAGCAAACCTCGAAATGTAAATGAACACCCATGGATTGACCACGAACTTCTGAATCTAATTAAAGTAAAGAATAAATTGAATAAAGTGGTTATCAAACGTGGAAGTACTCTAGACCACGACCGGTTTAGACAAGCAAGACGCGAGGTTAAAGCAATGATAAAGATGAAGAAAAAGTAATATCCAGCTAAACTGAAGGATTCGCTTCTCACCAATACCAGACGCTTCTGGTCTTTAGTTAAATCTATGACCAAACAAAACTGGTCACGAACAACAAAGAGAAAGCAGACTTACTCAACAACTTTTTTCAATCAGTATTCAGTCCTAATGATGGTACTTCTGAATCTTAACAAGGACCATCTACTATACCGGTTCATCATTTAAGTGAAATCCGCCTTACAATTTCAGAGGTAATTTAAGTTCTGGCAGACATTGATGTAAACAGTGCGCATGGCCCCGACAACATTCCTGGTAGATTGCTAAAGGAAACTGCACCTGAAATTGCCTCTCCCGTCTGCCGTTTGTTTGACCTATCGTTGTCTCTCGGCAAGTTTCCCAATCAGTGGAAATTAGCTAATGTATGTCCTTTCTACGAGTCCGATGATCCCACATTACCCAAAAACTACCGCCCAATTTCATTACTATGCATTATATCCAAATGCCTAGAAAGATGTGTCTTTAACCACTGCTATACCCTCATCTCGCCACAACTCTACCATCTGCAGCATGGTTTTCTTAGAGGAAGGTCCACTGTTGCTCAGCTCCTCCAGGTCTATCACGAAGTGATTCAAGGCCTAGCCAAAGGCAAGGAGATTGACATAGCTTATTTCGACTTCCCTAAAGCATTTGACAAAGTCCCTCGTTGTGCCTTGCTGAATAAGCTATCTCGATTCCGAATATCTGGGCAGCAAATAAACTTGTTTCAGAGCTATCTTTCTGATAGATATCAACGAGTAGCACTACAAGGCACCTATTCCGACTCGTTAAAAGTCTTGTCCGGTGTTCTGCAAGACTCAATATTGGACCCTCCGCTTTTCTTTGTCTATATAGACGACATTCCTCAATGTATTAAATATGACTCTAAAGTTGCCACATTTGCAGACGATTCTAAGCTGCTTAAGATGATTGAAAACCATCGGATAACTTTTCATTTCAACAAGACCTAACGCAGCTCTCAATCTAGAGTGATACCTGAGAAATGTGTCTCAGCATACTCAAATGCAAGGCCTTGAATATCTCTAAGAAGAAAACTCCAGAAAACGGGAATACCATCTTAACGGGTCCCCACTGGCAACAGTTAGCGAAATTAAAGATTTGGGCATAACTCTCACCAATACTCTCCAATAGTCTCAACATATAAAGCTGATTTCCTCTAAAGCAAACAGAACGCTTGGCTTTATTTGGCTGTACAGAAACGGATTATTTTCCGCCCATGCTGGAAATAAGTTCCATAGGAACTTAAAAAAGGCAAATTTTATCCTGTAAGTACGTCTGCAAATGGACCGATATGAGCGTGTGTCGAGTTCGAGAAACCGCGGTGGTCTTGCGCAAAATTTCTTTAGGACGGGCTCCATTTTCTTTCTCCCAAAACAAACTTTGTAACCTGGCTTATTCGGCTGTATAGATACGCCATGTGTGTGGGCACACAATGTCTACCCATTGAAAGAACTGGAGATTTGAATGAACCGTTCATCAGACACGTGCGTTCTAATACATGGAAGAACTGGGACTTGTCATAGAAAGCCTAGATTTACACACTTGCAAATTTGATTTCAGAAATGCAGATTTCCTTCACAAAAATATGAAACCCAAAATACATCACAACAATGTCAGATGTAATTTCAAGGTACATGCAGAGAAGCTATGAATGGAAAATCTTTGGCTCAGATTCAACTTTATCATATATAAAACAGGAAGTAAATATATCAGTCCTATTACTAAAGATATGGCATGAAAATGTTCAGGATGGATGTGATTATATTGACTTTCTCAATGCCACGGTTTCCAGATCATGGTTTAGAGTTAGTTGAGAGACAGGCTACCCTATCCAAGGCAAGCTAGAAAGAGAAGCAAGAGTTGTGGCAAGCAAATATGGGCAAATCAAAGGAAGAAAAAGAGACCAGCTTTAGTCAAAATACCTCACTTTAAGCATTCTACACAGTAAACTAGTGTCTATTGAGGGAGCGGAAAGGGACCTTCCTCTCACAAGAGATGAGCTTTCAGACTGAAAGAGAAATTCTAATGATCTAAAGGCAGAAACGCAAAACGCATGAAATGAGGGATTTGCAAAGAAATACAGAGGAAGAAAGGACTCTGAAAAATAAACAAAACCAAACTTATTTCTCTCCCTCACTAATAACAGGGGAGGCATTACTGCACAACTTCTATTTGGCTTGACTTTTATATCTCTTTGACTTGTATTCACTTGAAATTCTGCTACCTTTCAAAAGCTGAAAACCAGGGGAAATAAATATCAATCAAAATGGTGACTTAAAAGCACCTCTAAGCACGTTCAGTTTCATATAAAAACATAATTTCATGTTGTTGATGACGAGCATGTTGTACTATGTCTTAAATACATTCAAATGTAAAAACTGTATATCCTTCTCGAAAAGTACCTCTATCAACCAAATATCAATGCCTTGTTGGTGTTACAGAAATTATTAATTAGCTAAAAGTTAAGTTGGTAAATTTTCTTCAATGCATGCTTTAGTATTGGTTGTGAGAGATACCATTTCAAGGGGCATTTTTGGTGCTTGAAGAAGTTTCCCTGCTTGCACAACCAAATGCTTTGGTGAGTTTCCAAGGTAAGCTTTCATCTTTAAAGGAAAATAATAGGCCTTCCCTGCCCATGAGGGTCCAGATATATACCACCAATAATAGGGTGGAGACAACTTGTTAAAATCCTTTAAGCTGAGCAAGGTGTATTTAGAATCCCTTGACGATATTCCTTTGTAGTTAAAAAATATCGATAGACATCATGCTCTATGTTAACTGCAAGTGTGCTGCACTTTGACAGCATTTGATTTTAAAGGTGACTAGACTGCCAGATAAAAGCCATTAAATGCTGAAGCAATTTCACTTTCTGAGGGCTGTGGAGGCTTTCTATAAAGTCTAGAAGAGATTCAGAAAACAGATTTATTAGGACAAAAAAATTCGTTTCAAACGATCTTAACAAATTAACTAAATTTTTGAGCTTATGTTTATTACTCTTATAATAAAAAGACAAGGTGTTCTAAATATTGGAGGTCAACTAAAAAGCCTGTCTTGTTCTAAAGGAACTATATCAATTTCAACTTTTTCAAGCTTTCTTTACATTTTGGCATGAACTGAAAATTATGTTGTTGCGGTAATAATTCATCTTACTTGATAAGCTCTTTAGATAGATGGAGGGCAGGTTCCCAGGTACATGATGACATGGGCCATCCTTTACACTTGATAAGGTACTCTATCTCCTATGAGAAAACAAATAAGAGGTCAAACGGTCGGCTAAAGACAAGCCTTGGAACAGCACCTTTAAAACAGGCATTAAGTACTTACTTTGCCGCTTTTCCGCTTCGAAAGTAGTCTTTCGCCTTCCTTGCATTTCTAACTTTTACAGTTCTAACTCGTTGCTGTTTTTTTCCAAAGTCTTCCCTAGTTGGACTATTTAACCAGTCCATCCATGTATGATAGATTGTTCCGTTTCTGCAGTTCAAACTGTTAAGCTAAGTGTGCATATTGTGCAGTTGAAGCATTTAAGCTAGTTCGAGCATTTCACCTGCCTCAGCTAGTCGAGATAGAGAGTGAAATTTTTGCAGTTTAACCGTTTCCGCTACTTTGACTATTTCAATAGTCAAAGCAATTAAGCTGATTTGTCATGAAAAAATTCAGTTAAATCTTGCGGTTTGTGCAGCTGAGCCAGTTAAACTAGTTTGACCATTTCAACCACGAGAACCAATTAAGATAGATTGCGCTATTTGTGGAGTATGACTGTCCAGGCTAGTTTGACTATTCAATGATTATGTGTAATTAGCCCATATTAGTCAGTTTAACCATTTGAACTTCCTCAGCCAATTCATATAGAATGAGCAATTTGCGTAGTCTGACTGTCTTTGCTGGTTTGACCTTTCAATCAGTTGAATCGATGAGGCTACTTTGACAATCTTAACTACTTGAAACAATTCAGCTAGATCGTGCAGTTTCAAGAATTATGAGTTACTTTCACAATTTGAACGACGTCAACGAATTACAATAGATTGTGCAACTTTGTTCACTAATTTGACCACCAAACCAGTGGAACCAGTTAAGCTACTTGGACCATTTCAGCCACTTCGACCAATTCAGCTACATTGTGGAGATTTCTAGATTGAACCTATAAAGCTAGTTATGCATCCTGTGCAGTTAGACCACTTGAGCAAATTTGACAAGTTGAACTCCTTCAACGATCCGAGAAAGATTTTGCTTTTTTTGCTGTCAGATTAACAGTCTTCGCTAGTTTGATGTTTTTTGTCCAGTCGAATAGATTGAGCCAGTTGGACAATTTGAACTATTGGAACCAATTCAGCTTCATTATGCAGTTGAAAACCTGTAGCTAGTTTGACCATTTGAGCTACCTCAAGCAGTTAAGTATTGTGCAACTTGTGCAAATCTACAGCAACGAAGTCAGTGTAGGAACACCCATTGTCTTCGGCACCACCAACCATTACATCCAAAGGTATCCTCATCTCTCTACCGAACATGAGCTCGAAAGGGTTGTGCCCCGTGGAGGAATGAACACTACTGCGATAGGCCATCATGCAGAGATCAAGGTGCTCATCCCATGTAGCTGGATTATCTTCCACTCTAGCTTTTAACATGCTCCTTAAGGTTTTGTGCAGGTTTTCTACTTGGCCGCTGCCCTCAGGGTGACACGCGCTGGTGCGCGTTTTGTTAACACTCAGTAGCTGGCACATATCCGAGAATATTTTAGACTCGAAATTACTTCCGTTATCGCTATGAATGCTGTCAGGCACACCAAATCTGCCGATCCAGTTCCTTACAAGCACCTTTCGCAGGTTGTGCCACGCTGGTTGGACACTGCAAACACCTCAGCCCATTTAGTAAAACTGCACTGAACTGAGAGAATGCTGTTTTGGGTCTGTCCTCTTCTTTTACTTGCATCTACCAATACCCAGACGCCAAATCCAGACAGGAGAACCATTGGCCACCACCCAGCGCTTCCAAGACATCCTCAGTAACGGTATTGCATCTTTCTATGTACACCAATTCAGTTTGCAGTAATCAATGCACATACGGTAACTTCCATCATGTCTCCTTACAACCGAACTACTCCAGGGGCTCTGTGACTCATCAGCTCTACCATTCGCTAGCGGCTCGTCCAGCTGTTGATCTATTATCTCCCTCTGGTGCAGTGGTATGCGACAAGGAATATGCTTAATGGAAGCACGCTCATTACTGTCAATTTCATGTTCCATAATATCTGATTAACCTAAATCACAATTATTAATTGCAAATATGCCCTCATATTCGCCTATCAGTAGAAAAAATTGCCTTTTCTGCTCCTCAGAAAACCCATCTAAACTTGACTAAATAACTTTTGCCCTTCTCTCTTTACTGCTTGTCATCACCAATATTTCTGTCTATAACTCAACAGAAACAGGGGGATCTGGTCGTGACGTGACAATTCTGTCGGAGAAGTTAATCACTCTAGACCAGTCTCCCCTGCCTTTCGCACAACTAGGAAACCAGCCATACATATCTCACAAGTCCCCTGTACCTCTCTTAACCCCTCCAGGATTTAAGGTCTTCCGGAATTCTCTTCGTAACCTCCAAACTTATCAGTTGTTCAATACCCGGTTCTGGCTCTAAATCTGCATATCAAACAATTCTACAAACACTTAGGATAAGCCAAACCTAACCAAACAAAACCCTAACCCTAAGCAACCCAAACCCTAACCCAAACCCTAACTCTAACCCTAACCCTAACCCTAACCCTAACCCTAACCCTAACCCTAATTAGGTTCCCGGAGTGTTCACTTTGCCCACAATTTACCCTAATTAGCATAAATTTTTTTCCTAGCAAGATTAAGAGTTTTCCTTCTAACTATAGAATGTTTGGTTCTCATCCGACGTTCTGTGTAAGTTTTAGAAGATATGGTTAAAAGTCTTTTAAGTTATAGTCCTTCAAAGTTTGAAATGAGGGCAAGTCAACAAGATCGGGAGAATCTATGAAGAAAGCGTTATTTATTCACCAAATTTTGCCTGCAAACGTTTTAAACAAGATAAACAATCACCACGGATACCCTTTGGCTAACCCTGGCGAATTAAAAATCTCCAAACTTTGCTCGGGAAAAAATGACGGCCAGGTATACGCTCTACACATCACCTTGTAAGACTGGTCGAAGAAATTTGGACTATAAGGTAAGGTGATCATCCATGAAAATTACATCTCTCTGTAAATGCGAGGGTTAGAGTTGAAATTTACACAGGAAGTAACTATGTAAATTTTGTGTTATCACCGTAAGTTTCATGTTATTTCCACGCGGGAAACTCTTTTTAGAGTTGCTTTTGTACGGAGGACACTGTTCCAAATATTGTGGGGGCAAAGCTATTCCACATTTTCTGCTGAAGCAGTCGTTTTCTGCAAACATTCTTTAAAAGTTTTTACATTATTAGAAAGCTCTTTGCATGGGCTTTACATTGGCATTTCTTTAACTCCTAACCCTTGCATTGTTTTGAAGAAATTCTCTAATAAAGAAAGTGAATGGGGGCAAGAGCGCACTTTTTAGGTTGTCATGTAAAAAAATCATATAAAATCGATATTTTAATATAACATCATTACTTCCTGATACAATAAAGACAAATAGTAGGAGCAGCTTTTCAGAGGTTTTTGAGTTCTTTAATGGAACAGTCACAGAGATATAGAGGTCTAAATCATGCACAAGTTCAAAGTGCCAGTTTTGTCATTTTAAGGACATGGTTGACTTAATGAGACCACAACTACCCTTTAACCTTAGTGAAATACAATGAAACTCTATTGAAGTATTATCATATAATGGGACTTTAACTTACTTATAATTCGTGATATTCCATCAAGCGTAAAGAAGGATATAGAGACTTCAAGCTCCTTTAATGGAACTCAAATACATTTGCATATTATGGTCAACTTTAAGAGGGCAAAACTATTCTTTTGCTATATCAATCTCAACGAAACTTTAACATAAGATGGTACATAAATAGAAATTAAACATACTTGAAATTTATGTAACTCCAATAAATCTACAAGAAAATATTTAAATTTGAAGATACCGTCATGATTTGCATAACATAGTCACTTTTCGTGCATCTGACACGAGGTCACCATTTCCACAAGCCTTCGACTGGTAAGTCATGCTTTTTGATGCTCCGTTATTCTTCTTGTTTAGCACCCTTAGAACACTAGGCAGAAGCAATCAAACTATTGAAAGAGATGTCTAAGGTGGTCGGGCAGCTTTCTTGAACATTTTCTTGCAATGGAAAACAGTTGCTTCTTCGTAGGCTTTGGTCAAAGGAAGATAAGAAAAGAAGTCACCACTCCAAGGTGAGATGCAGAATCCCTGGATGTGGAATGATAGCAGGCGACATCAAGCGTCATCTTAAAGTGCATGTTGGTAAACAGATCGAGGAGGAAGATGTGCCGAGGGCTGCAGCGATTATGAAGGCAGGGAAGGCTACAAGGGGGCCAAGACAGGTGAGAGGGAAGAAGGAAGTGGAAACTCCGGGGAGATTACGAAAATGGTGCCCGGTAGACGGCTGCAACACAATCACCAGCTATCTTAGTCAGCATCTGGTAAAGGCACACAGGTTAAAGAGCTCCCATACCCAGTATAGGGTCCATCTCAAGGAGGCTGAAAGGTATACTGGTATCCAAGAGTTAGACTGCCTGCTCACTCTACCATCCAAGGCACCGTCATCCAAGCTGACATCTCCGTCATTCTTAACTGCTCAACCTAATCCACGTGAACACAAAACCAACGAAGATGAAGAAATAGAAGAGACCCAAGGAATAGAAGAGACCCAAGAAGAAGAAGAAGAAGAAGAAGAAGAAGAAGAAGAAGAAGAAGAATGGCATCCAGAGGGAGAGGTGGAGGAGAGTGACGAAGATTCTGAAGATGCTCCAACCATAAAGATCAGGAAGGAGGAATATTACTCAGCGACAAAATTTACGAGTTACCGCCACCAATGGCTCTCTGGTTTCTTTAAGTACCTGAAGAGCCCATCAGCGGGCTACAAAAAGCTTGAGAATAGACTCCAGCACGTGGGCCAGGTGGAGAAGCTCTTGGAAACGCTGGACCCCAACGGTAAGGACATCACCATCCTAGGGGAAGAATTTGGAGATATCGTATGGAACAAATGGGTCAGCCCACACCTTTCTGAGGGAACGAAGGCACCAGGTACGTTGGCCTCCTATTTGACCAGTCTGGAAAAGTTTTTCGTTTTCGTCACGTCCGACAAGTACCAAAGAAAGGAAATGCCGCCGCTGCATGGCAACGATTTGGACGTGTTTAAGGGGACCATCAACACCCTGAAAGGCTGGCGTGTAACTATCGATAACGAAACCCAGGATGTTCAGCACCGGACCCATCTCAGAGAGTGCGATACTCTCTTGACGGAAACAGACATCAACCTTCTCTCTCAATCAAAACCCTACATAGATGGTATGAAGGCCATAACTCAGGCCAAGGCAGGAAAAAGGCTCTCCATACAACAATTTACAAATGCTCGCGATCTTCTTCTGGTAAAACTCGCGCTACTTGTGGCATCTCGACCTGCCCCGCTAGAGAATGCTCTTCTTGAAGACTACCAAAAAGCGCAGGAGAAGGACGGAAACAGGGTCATGTTAATCCCGAAGCATAAACGATCTAGAGAGGGACCAGCACCACTTGGCATGGATAAAGAGGTGCAAGATCTCATGGAGGTCTATGTCAATAAGATCAGACCACACTTTGTTGCAAAAGATGTCAAACACCTCTTCGTTAAGAGTGACGGCCAATCATTCAACAGAAATACCATTGGAAAAAGATTCTCTGCTTTCTTCGAGAAAAGTGGCGTGAGGACCGACAGACGCGTAAGCCAGACTGCTGTAAGAAAGTTTGTAACAACGGCAGCGAGAAGGCATGCCCCAGAGGAGATGTCGAATATCCAGAGGGTCTTGTGCCATAGCGAAAGGTCATCTCGCAACAGTTATCTTAGGTTGGACTTGACAGAGACGGCCTCACACGCCATGAATATCATAAAGAAAGTCACCTCCAGTGAAACAGAAACTAAAACAAAGAAAGAAACTCTTGCTGAAGAACTTCCCGAGAAACAAATAAAGAAAGGTGGTGAGGAGAGTGACCAAAGTGCAGACGTTGATCTTCCTGGGCCAAGCCAACTAGCGTCTGAAGATGACGAAACCTCCACAAATGTTATCCCACCAACAGTCTCCCCTGGCAAGGTTTCAAGTCTGACAGAAAAACAGAAAGAAGCCATTAGGGAAATCTTTTCATCTGCCATTGAGAGAGGGAGAAACAACAAATGATGGCTGTGCGAAATAAAATGTCGACCACACTAATCTTAAGGAAAATGACTACTTCTATCTCAAAGGTAAAACAGGTAACCAACTTCGTCAACTACCTAGTGAGCAAACGACCCTTTGAGGTGGAAGGTTTGCCAACCCAAGCAATTGAAGTTGAAGAATGGCTTGATGACCAATCATCATCACTAAAATCTGATCAACGGATGCACTGGGATCAACGAGATACACAAGCGATGGAAAGAGAGTTCCGTAGGTTTCGAAAATGTCCACCTAAACAACAACTAAGGCAGATGTTCACGGTGAATGCACGCCTAGCTGCAATCTGTAAAAAGGAGGGTTTCAGTCGGTGCTACGAGAAGGTAAAGAGCATTATGCGGAAGAAAAACAAGTAGTGACCCCAGCTACACGTCATAGTGAAAAATCACTGCTTCTCTGTAAATAACTTTGTTCGTGTTGCTTCCGTTCCTTTTACTAAGTTAGTTCAAGCCGTTGCGTTTCTTTGTTCATGTTGCTTCCATTCCTGTTACTAAGTTAATTCAAGCCATTGCATGTCTGTAAATAAGTCTGTTCATCTTGATTCCGTTCCTATTACTAAGTAAGCTCAAGACGTTGCGTTCCTGTAAATAAGTTCCTTCATGTTTCTTTGTCAGACGTTCTCCTGGCAACAATGAGTTGGGCTGGTTACCCGATGATACCCTCTGGTATTGTGAGAGTTTGTCAGGGATCAAACACAAGCTGGGGTAGCCAATCCCTGGGGAGTGCCCCACAAACTTTCACAGTCCCAGGTAATACTCTTCTCGTTTGAAACGGCAAGAGGGGGACCAGGAAACCACTTATCACAACAGTACAACCCAGTCCTCGTGTTATGACTATGGCCAAACTTATAAGCGTGCTTACTATGTTAAACTTCATTCAAATAAACTGAAATTTACCGCTCCAGCAGATTAATCCATTGTTAAACAGTGTGCTAGATTTCAAAGATACACCATGAAGGGTTCCAAAGTTACAGTGGTCCTTATGACTGGACCTCCCATTACTTGATCATGTTGCCAGTCAATCTGAAACAAAAAGATTAAAGTTGTCCAATCCGATTAATAAATTTTCCCTCTAAAAGTACACGTCAAACACAATAACTCCTGCAACTTTCAGCGAATTCGCCCATAATAAAAGAAACCTAAGACAAAAAATCCCTCGATCTGAAGTGGGCAAGACAACACAGAGGGCCAGACAACAACAGGTGAGGGCAGGACAACACCCTATGTGGGCAAGACAACAACGTGTGAGGGCAAGACTACATTCGGACAACACACAAATGGGGGCCAGACAACCAAAGAGGGCAAAACAACATTTTTGTGGGGGGAAAACAACACACAATGGGGGCAGATTAACGCAGGAATATAGCCCTAACCCTAACCCTAACCCTAACACTAACCCTAACCCTAACCCTAACCCTAACCCTAACACTAACCCTAACCCTAACCTTAACCCTAACCCTAACCGTAGCCATAACCTTAACCCTAACCCTAACCGTAGCCATAACCCTAATCCTAACCCTAATCCTAACACTAACCCTAAACCTAAAAATAAACCTAAACCTAAACCTAAACCTAAACCTAAACCTAAACCTAAACCTAAACCTAAACCTAAACCTAAACCTAAACCTAAACCTAAACCCCCAAACCCAGCCCCAGCCCCAGCCCCAGCCCCAGCCCCAGCCCCAGCCCCAGCCCCAGCCCCAGCCCCAGCCCCAGCCCCAGCCCCAGCCCCAGCCCCAGCCCCAGCCCCAGCCCCTAGCCCCTAGCCCCAGCCCCCCTGCCCCAGCCCTAGCCCTAGCCCTAGCCCTAGCCCCCTAGCCCTAGCCCTAAGCAATTACTGGTGTACCCTTACAGCATCTGACTGGAATTTCCGACTTACGCTGTTTTTAGCATTATCGAATAGAAAACATATTTTTATTTGTTTACAATAAAACCGGGCTATTGTGAGTTAAAGCTCACAAAAAAACGTTTTCGCCTTTTGCTTTCTAAAATACGCTGCTTTCAGCTTTATCGCACCAAAAATTTGTTTCCAGCGTAACTGCATCGAAAAAAAGGTTTCTGCCTGTTTGCAGCTAGTCACCCTAACTAGAACTTGATTTCACTGAACCAACGTTTTCGTTTGTTTTCGGCTAAGTTACCACTGTCATCAGCATTATCTTTCTGCGAACAACGCTTTGGACTCTTTTGTTACTAGACTACGGTTTTACACGGTTTATCGCACCGAAAACATGTTTTGGTCTGTTAGCAACTAAATTGGACTGCTTTAAGCTTTATCGCACGGCAAAGTAGCGTTTTCCCTTTTTAACTGATAAAATACGCTGCTTGTTTTTGGCTAGCTTCTGCTGTTTTCAGCATCATCTTTCTGAGCACAAGCTTTTCCTCTTTGTTCGTTACCAAACTACACTTTTGACGCTCTATATTACCGAAAGAATGTTTTGGTTTGTTGGCAACTAAATTAAGTTGCTTTGAGCCTTATGTCACAAAAAAAGCGTTTTCCCTTTCTGTGTTTAAAATATGTTGCGTCTAGCTTTATTGCAGGAAAATATGTTTTGGTTTGTTTCCGGTAAAATTGGGCTGTTTCCATTGTTATTGCACCGGAAAAAGGTTGTCTGCCAGTTTGCATTGAGTTACTTTGATTTTTACTTGATTTTACTCAAAACAACGTTTTTGTTTGTTTTCGGCCAAGGTACGCTGTTTTCCCTTTTAATTGGTAAAATACACTGCTTTCAGCTTTTATTGCACCAAAAACATGTTTTTGCTTTGTTTACCGTCAAATTGGGCTTTATCCAGCGTTATTGCACCGGTAAATGGATTTCCTTTCCAGTTTTTTTGCGAATGACGCTGACTTTTTACTTGAGAGCACTCAAAACAACGTTTTAGCCTGTTTTACCTAAGTTACCCTGTTTTCAGTATTATCCTTCTGAGAGCAACCATTTTCTCGGTTTTGTAACTAAACTACACTTTTGACGCTCTATCTTACCGAAAACATGTTTTGGTTTGTTGGCAACGAAATTGGGCTGCTTTGAAATTTAGATCACAAAAAAGAGCGTTTTTCGTGTCTAAAACACGTTGCACTCAGCTTTATAGCACGAAAAACATGTTTTGGTTTGTTTGCCGTCAAATTGGGTTGTTACCAGCGTTATTGCACTAAAGAAGAATTTCTGCCAGTTTTCAGAGGCTTATGGTAATTTTTACTTGATTTTACTGAAAAAAACGTTTTCGTTTGTTTTCGGCTAAGTTACGCCGTTTTCAGCATCATGTTTCTGAGAACAGGCTTTTCCTTTTTTTCGTACCTAAACTGCAGTAATGACGCTTTATCTTGCCGAAAACATGTTTTGGTTTAGTTGCAGCTAAATTGGAAGCTTCGAGCTTAATGTCACAAAAAGCAGCTATTTCATTTTTCGTTGGAAAACACGCTGCTCTGAGCTTCATAGCACTGAAAATATCTTTTGGTTAGTTGGCAACGAAATTGAACTTCTTTGAGCTTTCTATCGCAAAAAACAGCGTTTTTGCTTTTTCTTGGCTAAAACACGTTACACTCAGCTTTATAGCAGAAAAAAATATTTTGGTCTGTTTCCCGTAAAGTTGTGTGGTTTCCAGCGTTATTGCACCGGGAAAAGGTTTTCTCTCAGTCTGCAGCGAGTCACCCTGATTTTCCCTTGATTTTACTCAAAACAACGTTTTTGCTTGTGTTTGGCTAAGTTACGCTGTTCCAGAATCCTCCTTCTGAGAACAACCTTTTCCTCCTGAGCAAACTACACTTTTGACGTTCTATATTACCGAAAACATGTTTCAGTCTGTTGGTAAATAAATTGGGCTGCTTTGAGCCTTTGAGCACAAAAAATAAGTTTTGGCTTGTTTGGTGTCAAATCGGGCTCTCTCCAACGTTATTGCACCGGTAATTAGATTTCTTTTCCAGTTTTTAGCGAGTGACCCTGATTTTTATTTGATTAGCCTCAAAACAACGTTTTAGCCTGTTTTTGGCTAAGTGACACTGTCTTCAGCATTATCTTTCTCAGAACAACCTTTAACACGTTTTCCTACATGAAATACGTTTTTGACGACCTAACTTGTCGAAAACATGTTTTGGTGTGTTCGCAGCGAGATGGGGCTGGTTTGAGCTTTGTGTCACATAAAAAGAGAGTGTGTGCTTAAAATAAGCTACTTTCAGCTATATTGCAGGAAAAACATGTTTTGGTTTGTGTGCCGTAGAATTGCGCTGTTTCCATTGATATTGCATGGGAAAAAGGATTCCTGCTACTTTGCGTAGATTTTTATTTGATTTTTACTTAAAACAACGTTTTTGCTTGTTTTTGGCTAGCTTCTGCTGTTTTCAGCATCATCTTTCTGAGCACAAGCTTTTCCTCTTTTTTCGTTACCAAACCACTTTAGACGTTCTATATTACCGAAGGAATGTTTTGGTTTGTTGGCAACTAAATTAAGTTGCTTTGAGCCTTATGTCGCAAAAAAGCGTTTTTCCCTTTCTGCGTTTAAAATACGCTGCGTGTAGCTTTATTGCAGGAAAAACATGTTCTGGCTTCTTTGCGGTAAAACTGGGCTGTTTCCAGTGTTATTGCACCGGAAAAAGGTTGTCTACCAGTTTGCAGCAAGTCACTTTGATTTTTACTTGATTTCCTCAAAACAACGTTTCCGTTTATTTTTTTTTGTTATTTTTAAGTTACGCTGTTTTCAGTATTATTTTTGCAAGAAAAATCTTTTCCCTTTGCTTGTACCTAAACTGCTCTTTTAACCCTTTATCTTACCGAAAACATGTTTTGGGTCTTTAGCAACTGCAGTGGAAGCTGCGAGCCTTATCTCACAAAAAACAGCAATTTGGTTTTCGTTGCAAAATACGCTGTTTTAAGCTTCATAGAAACGAGAGTATGTTCTGGTTTGTTGGAATCAAAATTTAAGCTTCTTTGAGCCTAATATTACAAAAAAAGCGTTTTTGATTTTTGATGAGAAACACGATGCAATCAGCTTTATAGCACAAACACCATATTTTGGTTTGTTTGCTGTAATATTGGGTTGTTCTCAGTGTTATTGCACCAAAAAAAGGTTTTCTTCCAGTATGCAGCGAGCCACTCTGATTTTCACTTGATTTTACTCAAACAACGGTTTTCCTTTCTTTTGGCGAAGTTACCCTGTTTCAGAATTATCTTTCTGAGGACAACCTTGTTCTCTGTTTTCGTAACCAAACTATACTTTGGACGCTCTTTATCACCGAAAAAATGTTTTGGTTTGTTGGCAACTAAATTAGGTTATCTTTAGCCATGTGTCACAAAAAGGGGTGTTTCTTTCTTTCTGTGTTTAAAATACGCTGCGTTTAGCTTTATTGCAGGAAAAACATGTTTTGG